GTTAAAATATGCTAACCAGGTCCTGATTTTGCTAATATATTAGAGATGTTCAAATGCCACCAGTGCTAACTTAAAAGGTACATAGGACTCCATACTATTTTTGCAACTTTTTAAAGTCTGTTATTATTTCATATAAAAACTTCTATATCATACATTCATGTTTATGGAAGCATTATTCACAATAACCAAAAAGACGTGGCCAACCCAACAACTGACTGACAAACCGTGGCATATACATACAGTGGAGGATTATTTAGCTGCAGAAAGGAATGAACCCTGAGGTGGACTCTGGACTCTGGAGACTTTGTAAAATAAACATGAAGAATTGCTGTTTGGTGGATACAAAGTTGTTTCGGGAGATTCTTGAAGGACCAGGTTTTTAGAGATATAGTAATGCATGTATTTAAATATGTCATCTTATTTTTTTTTAATATGTGTTTTGCCTGTGTGTATGCGTGTGCATCATGTGTGTGCCTGGTGCCTGAGGGAGTCAGAAGAGGAGGTGTCAGATCTGCTGGGACCGGAGCTGTGGATGGTTGTAAACCACTATGAGCGTTCTGGGAACTGAACCCAGAACTCTGCAAGGGCAGCCAGTGCTCTTAACTGTTGAGCCATCTCTCCAGCCACTTAATTTATTTTTAAAAAAGATTTATTTGTGTTTTATGTGTCTGTGTTTAATAGTATATATGTGCAGGTGCCTGAAGAGACTGGAAGAGGATGTCAGATCCCCTGGAGCTAACAAGTGATTGTGAGCTACCCAACTTTGGTACTGGGAACTGAACTAGCCAGAGCTCTTAAATGCTGAGTCAAGTCTCGAACCTCCAGTGTTTTTTATTTGTTCATTTTATTTATTTTCATTTTGAGAGCTGGGGAAATGGCACAATGTGTAAGACCTACTCTACAAATATGAGTGCCCAAGTTTGAATTTGTAGCACCCACATAAAAAGCCAGGCATGATTATGTGTACCTATAATCCCAGTATTGGGGTGCAGAGACAGGCAGATCCCATGAGCTCAATGGCCGGCCAGCTTAGCTAAGACGGTCAGCGTCCAAATCAGTGAAAGACATTGTCTTAAGGCAATAAAGTAGGGAGAAAGGAGGAAGAAGACACCACCCAGTGAAGTGCTCTGGACTTGTGAGCATGTGCAGGTACATGCACGTGGCACACTCGACAAGAAAACAGATTTATGTGTATCTTTTATGATTCCTTTCTTTTAAAACTAACAGAAGGCCGGGCAGTGGTGGTACACACCTTTAAAACTAGCATTCAAGTGCAAAGGCAGGCGAATCTCTGAGTTTGAGGCCAGCCTGATCCACAGAGTGAGTTCCAGGACAGCCAGGGTTACACAGAAAAGCCCTGTCTCAAAATACAAAAACAACACAACAAAAAAACTCCAACAGAATACCTCAGCTATTGTATTTTCTCCTTTATGGTGATCTCATAATGAAAATAATCTCGGATAAATATGCTACCATGGATCTTTTTTTCTGATTTGTACACTTCTATCATGTAAGGCTTAATGGCTGACTAGTCCCTGACCTGAAAGTCACTTTCAGTCTGTCTTTAATTGGAGGATTAAGGCCATTTATAGTCACAGTTATTGCTGAAAGATATATACTACTAACTCCTGTCATTTTGTTGTTTTCTTCTGGCTATTTTGAATAATCTGCACCCATTTCTTTTTCTCTAAATTCATATTAAAGGTTTGTTGGTTTATTGAATCAATCATGTTTAATTGTTTTTTCTAATTCTCAGCTTATTTTATTATTCTGGTGAGGATTATTATTTCTTTCATGATTCTATTTATCCTCCTCCTCTCTGTATATGGTTTAAAGGCCATGAATTTGGGTTAGGCTTATCTAGGGAGGTCTTTATCTCACCTTTGATTCTAAAAAATAACCTTGCTGAGTACAGTAATCTTAGTCAACTGTTACTTTCTTTCGGGACTTGAAATATAGCATTCTGTACCTTCTAACCTTTAGATTTTTTTGCTGATAATTTTGCTGTTTATTCTGTTGGACCTCCTTTTTTTATAAGTGACAACACTTCTGTAGCTTTGTTGTTGTTGTTGTTGTTGTTGTTGTTGTTGTTGTTTTGAGATGGTTTCCTTGTGTAACACCCCTGCTTGTCCTGGAACTCACTCTGTAGACCAGGCTGGCCTCAAACTCACAGAGATCCACGTACCTCTGTCTCCCCGGTCCTAGGTTTAAAGATGTGCACGACCATTGCCTGATTTATTATTTTAATTGTTCCTTAATTTATTGAACTGTTTTATTCTCTGTGAGTTCACTGATCATTTTTTAAATTAATCTTTTTAATTATTTTCCCATAATTACATTTATTTTATACAGTAGTTCATAGATTTAAATTTGGTTACTGGTGAAGTATGAATTTTTACAGAAACATTGTCTTTTTTATTCATAATTCTTAGTTTTTCTGTGTTGATATATGAGCATCTGTTGAAGAGACTATCTCTCACTTTTGTGTGAGGTCTCCTTCGTGAGAACGTCTCATGAGGGCTCAACCCCAGTACTGTGCAGAGGAGAAAGCAAGCTGCAGTAACAAGTTCTACTTGCTGTGCTAGATCCCCTTCCCCGTCCCTGAAGCCAGGGCTGTGGGCCTGCATTTCTGCTTCTTCTGTGTGCTTTTTAGTTTTCCTATTTCTTTTTCATTCATAGTCATATTCTCTTTCTCCTTCCCCACCCTCCCTCATCTTTTTTAGGCAGGATCTGGCTGTGGTCCCAGTGGGTCTGGAACTTCCTATGTAGTCCATTCTGTCCCCAAACTTGGAATCTCCTACAACTACATATATGCTTGGATTGCAGTTGTGGGTCAACAGGTCTGACACTGTTGGCTCTTTCTTGATTCCTAGAGTTCTTTCTTTCCCTAAAACATAGTTGCCCTTTCTCACTCACAGAACTGGGCAAAATAGTTTTATCATCTCCTCCCTGTCCAACCTTTGCTTTTAAAAAATGTATTCATTGTGTATTATGTATGAGTGGTTTGCCTCAATGTTTTGCTTGCATGCATGTGTTTGTGCTTGGTACCCCGGGGATGAACTGCATCAGATCCCCTGGAACTGTAATTATGGCTGGTTAAAAACTACCAGGAGGGTACTGGGAATCGAACCTAGTTCCCCTGCAAGAACAACAAATGATTTTAACTACTGAAGGTCTTCAGCCCCTAACCTTCGTTTTTAATGTTGGACCTCATTTGTTGGTATTCACACAAAGAATCAAAATAACCATGGCAGGTTTAGTTTAAAAATTAAGTGCATAAAGTACTATAAATTAATGAGTATGGGAAAGCATGTACAATAAATTTACTTAGATCTTTAAATTATACTACAAAATAAGTTTTTTTTTTTTCTTTTCTTTTTTTGAGACAGGGTTTCACTGTGTAGCTTTGGAGTCTGTCCTGGAACTTACTCTGTAGATCAGGCTGGCCTCAAACTCACAGAGATACGCCAGCCTCTTCCTCCCTAGTGCTGGGATTACAGGTGTATGCGACTACCACTTGGCTACAAAATAAGTTTTAAATTTGTTTCTTTTAATGTTCTTTAAATACAGAAGTAGAGGACAATAGAAGTGAATGTTCATAATTCTTAAACTTGTATGATAGCAAAATGAAGAAAATTGCAAATGAAAAGATTGCCTATTGATTTGTTATTATAAAAGTGAATTTGAGGAAATCATTTTTCAGATTTTTTTTTTAAAATAAACTTGAACAAAGCATATGACCCAGCATTCATATTACTGGATAGCTTAGAGAAGTGAAAACTGGGATTCTCAGAGCAATCTGCACATGTTACATGTATGTCCTGCTCATGATTTTTTTCAATCTATGGTAAGGTTTTGACAGTTTAACCATGATAAGTCAAGAAACATATGCACTGTGATTGTTGACTGCGTTATCATTGAGAGAACGTTGGTAAAGTGTACGTGTGAGAACCCTACAATTCTCACAACATCTACTTCAAAATTAAGTTATCCAAAGGTCAACTTGGGCCAGAAATACATTGAAAAGCAAAATGAAGCACATAGTTAATAGCAATTATTAGAGATAAAATAATTGTTTGTATGAATAATGTTTTGTACACATGAGCACACATATGCGTGTGTGTGTATGCATATATATATATACACATATATATATATGGAGGAAGAGAGAGAGAACTCACACATATTTATCTACTAGGCAAGCAACAGAGTCCTCAGGAAATTTAAACAAGAATTTTTTAGAAGATAGAGTACCTGAGAGAAAATTTTATAGGTGTACTTTTATAATTATATGCCCAAGATTTTCTGAAATCACAGCCAGGTAGTAGTGACACACATCTTTAATCCCAGCACTTGGGAGGTAGAGGCAGGAGGATCTGAGTTTAGGGCCAGCCTGGTCTACAGAGTGAATTTCAGGACAGCCAGGACTACACAGGGCTATCTTGGAAAAAAAAAAAAAGGGGGAAAAGATTCTCTGAACTTCGAAAATTTCATTGTTCTGCCAAATCAATAGATCATAACTGCAATTTCACCCAAGACAAAAATAGTGCTTGCCTAAATGTAAGAACCTGAGTTCTGTTACAGAACCCAATGGAGGTAAAGACAGGTGTTCCTGAGGCTAGCTAGCCTAGCTTACTTGCCAAATTCTAGACTGGTTAAAAAAAAAAAAAACCAAAAAGGTGGGTGGAGTCTGAGCAACAGTATGTGAATTGCACCCAAAGGCACTTGTGCACCTGTAATTACACACTCATATGCACACATACAGAACAGAGCAGTAGTTTTCATTGTTTGGTGGTGGTGGTTTGGTTTATCGTTTGATATTTCGAGAGTAATAATCAAGTTGACTAGCTATATATCTGAGGGTGACATTGATCAGCCTGCATGCACTTCCTAAGTTAGCATGCCCAGATAACTGTGTACTGTTTTAAAACAGCTTGAAAAACCTTGTCATGTATAATCTGTCTTCTCAACAACAAACGCTGTTTCTTTTTCTTTTTTAGGCATAAATTAATTATTGGAAACTGCTAAATAATGGAGCCAGACATCATTCGAATGTATTCTTCATCTCCCCCACCACTAGACAATGGAGCAGAGGATGACGATGAGGACGAATTTGGGGAATTTGGTGGATTTTCAGAAGTCAGCCCTTCTGGTGTAGGCTTTGTTGATTTTGATACACCAGATTATACTCGTCCTAAGGAAAACTTTGTACCTTCAAACCATTTTATGCCAATTCATGATTATTCAGAAAATGTAGATAGCCTTACAAGCTTTAAGTCCATTAAAAATGGTAATGATAAGGATATCACTGCTGAACTTTGTACTCCTGTGAAAAATCAATCTGATGTTGTACTTTCTACCACCAGCAAAGAGATGATTCCATCTAAAACTTCAGATCCTTCCATCGATGGCATGGAAAGCCCGGGGGATTTAAATAAAGTTGTGGTGCAGGGACCAAACACTGGACAGCCCAGAAGTTTCTCTCCAGGAGATTTTAGAACTGATCCTAACATTGTTCATCAAACCAAGCAGTTAGAGAGCTGCAACGGTGAAAAGCCTCCTTGTCTGGAAATTCTAACAAATGGGTTTGCAGGTTTAGAAACTGTAAATCCTCAGGAAACAGATGACCTGGACAGTGTGGCTGATTCAGAGGGATTGAAGCCTCTTAGCACTTGTGACACTGAGTGTGGTTTAGATTCTACAGCTAGTCCTGCTAAGGAATTTGCAGATTTTGCTGCATTTTCCCAAACAGAAAGGATACAACCAGAAGAAATAGAATGTGCAGTTGTAAATGATGGTGTTGCACAGAGCATTCAGGAAAACAGCAGAATCAACAGAGTCAGTGAACTAAATTCCTTGAAGGGTATGTCTTTGGGTAGAAGCTTTGAGGATAAAGGAGTTACTGATGGAGAACATGTTTCAGAAGTGCATGTAATAATTGACAGAGGTTTCAGTGTTGACAAACAAGACCTTCAAACACTGCAAAAGAATGAATTTTTAAATTCAAGAATTCAATCTGAGACTTGGAGTTTGGTAGACTCAACAGAAAATTCAGACACCATTAGGAGGGACCAGTGTAAAACTGAGGAAAATGATTTATTTGCTTCTAAATGTGCTGACCTGTGCATGGAGTCTATTAAAACTTCTGATGCTAATGAAGTTGATTCTTCCAAAGAAAGAAATAGAAAACTTACTAATTCGGAAAGCCCAAACCTTGATCCCACAGAAGAAAATGTTTTGGATGATTCGGCTGCAAGCATAAAAAGTGCTGACAGTGGTAACGGCTTTGTAACTTGCCACAATACCACTGAGGATGATTTTGGTGACTTTGGTACAGCCAGTGGCACCACTCCACCTTTTGTTGCCAGTACTCAAGATTCAATGAGTGATGCAGCTTTTGAAGAGTCCTCGGAGCATTTTCTACATTTTAGTGAACCAGGTGATGATTTTGGAGAATTTGAGGATACAAATGCTGTTTCTTGCCAAGAGGAAATGATATTTACTGAGTCCAACCTAAAACAGACCTCTGGTAGTTTATCAGAGGAAGATCAGTTGGCAGGAAAGTCTACTGGGAAAGACAGTGGACCTGACTCAAAACTGGAAAATGGTCAGGACAGTGAATTTGGAGATTTTGATTCTGTGCCAAATACTCAAGACAGCAGTAGTGCTTTTCAAGACTCAGATGATTTTGCAGACTTCAGTTCAGCTGGCCCTAGTCAAGCTGTGGATTGGAATGCTTTTGAAGATGAACAGAAAGATGGTTGTTCTTGGGCTGCCTTTGGAGACCAGCAGGCTACTGAATCCCATCATCGAAAAGAAGTCTGGCAGTCACATAGGACAGACGAAAATATTGATACTCTGGGGACGCCTAAGATGCACAATGTCTCTTTAGCAACTTCCAAAGGAACAGTTGCTAGTGGCCATTTGCAGGATTCAGCCACTTCAGTTCAGGTATTTACTAATTTCCTCTATTGCATAACATGTTACTTTCTAGGGAGACTCCTAATACAGCTTTAAAAAATTAGCTAAGTATCTACTAACGGGGATTCTGTGTGAGATATGATATTTGCTGGCTAGATTTCTAGATTAGTTAGAGTTTCCACAACCTTTTGAAAAATTGTAAAATTGCTATCCTAGGGAGTTTCTTAGTTAACAGAAATTCATCAGTTTAAATTGATGATTAATGTTTGTTTTAAATATAGCCATTTTTCCTTCAGTTTTTATCTTTACAGTGGTTTTTTCAACAGTCAGTTAACTATGTCTCTTAAAAATAAGCATAGTTTTGATTACAGGAGAGAGCTAATGGAATTTGAAAACTCATAATTTAACAGCCACAAAAAGATCCGGCATGAAATAATGTTTAATCTTAGAAGAAGTAACTGTGGATTAAGTTATTGTGGTTATATTTATTGTTTCTTGTTTGTGTGTATATGTGTTTTTTGTTTTGTTTGTAACTATTCTTAGGGAGCAGATAAATCAGGGAGAATATTTTTACTACTCAGCACCTGTGTACAATTCTTTCTGGTTCATACTCTAGTCAGAAAAGATTCATTAATATTTATTATGATCTAAAATAGTCCCTGTAGTTGTATCTTGATATTATTGTTTCCCAGTCCTGAGTTGTACTCTATATTAGTTTTTACCATTACTCAGCCCAAGTAGTGAGGAAAGGGACATTTTGAGGGAAAAAACAAAAACAAAACAAAAACAAATCACTTTTTTATAGAAGCGATTGGTGTGGGACATCTTGTCCTTAGGCTTGTTTTTAATACTATTTTTTCAGTTGTCTTTTGCTAAAAAATCCATTTCAACTGGAAGTATCTCTAAGGTCTGTTAATTAAAATAATTATACTTCATTGTTTTGATAGTTTTGATACATGTGATATTGCCATTTGGTATTCACAGCTTCTCACTCACTGGCTCTGAGTGTCTAAATAGTTTGTTTGCTAATTCAGTTATTACCTGGCTGAGCTAATGTGCAGTATTACTATTTAAAATTTATCATTGAGGAAAGAGTCTTATAATATAATTCTAACAACAAATTAACTGGTTTTAATACAAAATGAAGACTGTTGCTTTGACCTAACCCTTTCCCTATTTAGTTTCATTGCCGTAAAGTATAGGGTGTCCGTGGTATTAGATGATCTTTAGTTTGTAGCCTTAGAACTTTTAACATCATCAGATAATGAATTTTTAAAAGTATAACCACTTCAAATGGAAATTTCTTTCATGTTGAGTTTATTTGTACATAATTTAATAATTGAATATATATACATGTACATAGATCATATATGGGCTTCAATGGAATATGATGTGTGATTTTGTATCTTGACAGCCTCTTGAAAACTTTCTTATTTGGATATGCAGAAAGGGAATTTTGTTTTGTAAAAGTAAAATGTAAGCTGCATAGAGATAGCAAAAATACTTATGAAAACTTGCTGAGATCTTTTGACCCAGGCGTCACACATTTATTAATGGGGAATGGGATATGCAGAATCTTAGAGATAGATGCAGAGTGGGAGAACAGACTACTGACAACAGTTCGGGAAGAAAGCCGAGGTGGGGAATGGGTAACCCTGCTAGCAGAGTAGTCAGAGTGCATACAGATGATGCTGTGAAGGAAGCTGCCCTGGACTTTCCTCCCTGGACTCCAGAATCTGCTGAAAACATACATTTGTCCTACCTTGCCCTTTGAGAGATTCTATTCGTTAATGTTTTTCTAAAATGTCTCCTAGCTGCAGCAGTCTTTCTTCATCAGTCTGCTAAGTGCTGGCTTGCAGGGATGAGCCACCACACCTGGCCAGGAATCGTGATTAAACAACCAAGAAGCCCTTTCAGCAAAACAGTTTATAGCATAAGCACTGATTTAATCCTGAGCTTCTGTAAAACTAAATATTACTCAGAATGTTACTTGAGAATTTAGGTCATTGGTAAATACGAAGATTTTCTTCTACAAGGGAGGCCATGAAGTTATATTTTGTTAATAGCCATCCATCTGGTATTACTGAAAAAGGTTATTAGATGAAATTTAAGACCTTTAAGAGTGAAAGGTATAGGGCTTAGAGGTTAAGAGCGGTGATTGTTCTTCCAGAGGTCCTGAGTTCAGTACCAGCAACCGCACTGTGGCTTACAGCCATCTGTAATAAGATCTGGTGCCCTCTTCTGGCGTGCTAAATACATGCAGTCAGAACTCTGTATATATAAATAAATAAATAATAAATCTTTAAAAAAAAAGAAAGGAATGAATGAATTAAAAAAAAAAAAAAAAAGAATGAAGGGTATAGGGGCTGAAAAGATGGCTCAGCAATTGAGAGAGCTGCTCTTCTGGGTACAGAAATTCAGTTCCCCAGCATCCATGTCAAGAGATTCACAACTGCCTGTAATTTCAGCTCCAGAGGGATTCCACACCTCTGGACTCCTTCGGCACTTGTACTCATGTGTACATACCCACACAGAGTCACACATACACAAAATTAAAAATAAAAAATAGGATTGGAGAGATGGCTCAGCTGAGAAGAACACTGTCTCCTCTTCAGAGGATCCGGATTCAATTCTCAGCTACCACAAGGCAGCTCACAGCTGTCTGTAACTCCAGTTCCAGGGGATCTGACACTCTCACACAGACATACATAACAGCAAAACACCAAGGCACATAAAATTAAAATACATCTTTAACAAATAAATAAAAAATAAACTTTTAAAACTTAATTTAAGGATGGGGCTGTAGAAATGGCTTAGAAATGCGCTTGTAGAGGCTGCAGGATGAGTTCCCAGAACCTACGTGGTGGGTTCACAACCACCTGTAACTCCACATCCAGGGCCTTGGTGCCCTCTTCTGAATTCCACCGGCACCAGGCATGCACGTGGCACACATAATAAATGCAGGCAAAACATTCATGCACGTAAAATAATCTTGAACATTTTAAATAGATAAGTAAAAGTTAATGGTGTGGACTGGCAGTCTTTCATTACTGCCGTGCCACTGCCCCCGTAAGTATACTAGAACAAAAAAAATCTTCTGTTTAAAAAAAAAAAAGATATCACAAAAAGGGAAAGGAGGTGGGAAAAACATTTAGACTTATGCTATTTGAGGTTAAGTTACTGGTGTTTCACTAGAAAGTTAGCATTCTAAACCTGAATATAACAGACCTTTTTCCTCTGCAATCATCTGCTCAAGATTATGCATGTTTTATTTTTACATGCACATTTGAATTTGTGGCTGGAAATAGAAGCATCAAAATAAAGGAATTAAGGCTATATGTACTGGCTCATTCCAGTAATCCCAAGACAAGAGGATGGGGATGGGGAGAGTGGGAGGTCAAGACCAGCTTGAACTCTATAGATGGTTTTCCAGGCCAGCTTAAGCTTTATAGTAAAACCTATCTTTAAAAAAAAAAAAAAAAAAAAACAGTGCTAGAGAAATGGCCCGGTGCTTAAGAGCACTCACTGCTCTTCCAAAGGCCCTGAGTTCAATTCTTAGCACCCACATGGCAGCTCACACTGCCTGATGCCCTCTTCTGCTGTGCAGTTGTACATGCAGACAAAGTACCCATATGCATTAAATACATAGATGAGTAAATCTTTTAAATAACAAATTAGTAAGAGTTAAGATTTTGGCCTTATAGGTCTTTGTTTACTAAATGTTTGGTTGAATTGTATTTCTTCTTTACTGTTTTCCCTCTCAGAAAATTTGGCATTCTGGCCTTTAATACCAAGTAGAAATATTGTGTTAGATTTGTTCAGAAACTGTACAGAGGGAACTAACCATCTTTTCAGAGCATGGTAAATATTATAGTACTCACTCATTTTATAGTTTGAAATTAGGGGTTGATAAGTATACAAGTATAGCTTATATTTGATATCTTACTTAATATTTAATGGTGGTAAGGCATAAGGTGTCCTCTGAAGTGGAAGATTAAATTACTTGGATTTTAAGTTTCTTCTGCGTAAGATTTAGAGTTACTAATAGAAAAACTATTATAATAGAAAAATCAGGATTTCATCATAATCAAGAAAGAAAAATTAATTGGAAATAAGTCAAGGAGATTTTAACAGGTGCCGCAAATACAAGACACTTTAAAGAGATGTGCACTTCTGTAGTGGAAAAGCCAAGTCTAAAAATCCCCAGGAGCTGGTGCCACCGCTTGTGCCTCTGAGAAGCTGAGCTATACTTGCAGTACACAGAACTTGCTGAGTTTCATTCGTTTTTGTAGTAGTGCATTCAAAACAGGACCTTGTCTGTGCTAGGGATCTACTACTGAGCCCAGCTCATATACCCTTTTTATATTATGTGTCATTTATAAAATAGAGATGTATGTATCGTTTAAGGAGATAGACAGACAGACAGAGCAGATCTGATAGAACCAATAGAGTATGTATAAGAGAAAGAGGGGAGGAGAAGGGAGAAGGAATAAATATATAATAAATAATATGTATTAGAAATTAAGCTCAAAATACACAGTAAGCTGGAGAACATGAAAACTGTAGTTGTGTGAATTTGAAGGCCTGAAAACCAGGAGAGACAGTATTGTGTGTTTCAGAAATACAGTTCAGTTAAGAAGACAGGAGAAGTGGTATCTTTAGACAGAAATTCCCTGGTTCTCAGGTTTTATTTTTTTCCTATCCCATCTTTAATTGGATGCAACTCTCTCATCTTAGGGCAGGCAGTCTGTTTTAGTCAGTTTATCAGCTACTATATTAAATTTCACCTAGAAATATCCTCATATTTTACCAAATATCTGGGCATCTGATGACCTCATCAAATTAATGTACTAAATTAACAGTGAGTGAACATACCCTTCAGGATGTTTGGAAGGCTGCTAACCTGTTCATGACTAAGACATACCATAAGGAACTTTCTGTATTAGGTTATACAGGCTTATTTGCATTGATAGAGATGAAATGGCTACTACCTACAGACCCCAGGGCTTTGGTCCCTTATCTGCAGACAG